CCAAGAAAGATTACGTGGAAAATGGAAATGAGAATGGGCTGACAAGTAGTTAGTAGTTGATTCAGGAAGAGCCTAGTCATGACTAGACAAGAGGCTACAGACAAATCAGCAAATTGTGCAAGATAAATGTAGTAAACCCCAACATGGAGAATTCAGCCTCGCAGTAATGTCATTATAATACTAGAGATATATTCAAATAAGAGTTAGGATAGTTAAAGGTACCGTATGAGTGTTATGGAAATAAAAGAAGTGTCACTGGGAAGACAGTCAAAATATCACTTCAAAAGCAACCCTACAAGCACAAGGGTGTGGAGGTAAGTAACTACAGATAAGTATAGGCAAGGAAGGACATCAGAAGGTCCGTCGAGCATACAATGTAATAGGCTCACAACTCTATAGGAGTCAGAAGGTCTTTCCTAAGTACTACAACGAAGGACTAGCTAAGGAAACAAGGAAGAAGGCTTCAACCTAAGCACAACAACCTAAAGAGAAAATGGTCATGTGACAACAGTCTCTAAACAACATTGTATGCACTCCCTAAGAAAGTGGCACCTACAGTGGCTAATGAACAGGGAGTAAAATCAGAAGTGATATTCGGGATCATATGAGTTGTATGGTATTTCAAATATGTGAGCACTAAGATAAGCTAAGTATGGACGCAACAATGGAGCAGAGAAATCAGGAAAAGTAATAGCTTACGCTTAAAGAAAGCTAAGATGAAAAAAAGGGATTATTCGATCAATGAACCAAAGTTGGTTACATTATGAGCATGCGTAAGGGTTCGAAGTTTTATACATACAACATATACAACCATAGAAGATTCTGGTATATGTTAAACGAAAGAAATAGGCCCATGTCGCAGACGAAGGATTAAGTTGTTAAAGGATTGTATCATGCATATCCCATAGTACCATGAAGGGATAAAAATAATAACTAACACCATGAGCCGCAGATCGGAAGATAGCTTAAGCCTACATAAAGGTTGACTAGAAGAAAGAAAAAACTAAAGAGTTACATCACCCAAGTAAATTAGGAGTTTGATTATTGGACCCAGAAAAATAGAAACATCATGATCGAGAACATTACAGGATCTCTCTTAAAAAATCAGAGGTACGAGAGGGATAGTACAACAACCATAGTCTATAACGGCTCTACATAAGAAGTCAGTATGAAGCTCCCACCGGATATAGTATTATAATAGAGCTTCAAGTTGTGGTGTGGATAATACCTATGTGGAAGGGAGGTTATAAAAGAGATAAAAGATATAATGCGAGATTTTAAGTACGTAAGATAAAGGTAAACAACGTACGAGATACTCAAATGCATAAAGTTGTGAATAGTCCATACTTCGGATAGAAGGCTAAAAGCGCGGGGGATCCAATAACCGGGAATAATAGTGGCATCGTCAGTGACATGTCTTCCAGCCTATGGTTTCTAAGTATTGAGAAATTTAGTTAAGAGAATAGAGAAGGGTTAGAGACGATGTAATGTCTCGCTTGACATTCCAGAATAACATAAAGAAATCTATGGTGCAAACAAGTTGAAGGAAAGTTGCGAGTAGTATAAATGGATATGTATAGGTCGCAAGCTAAAGTATGGTAGAGCAACAAAGTTTTAAGAAAACAAGAGAGATAATGGTTTCTCTAAGTTATTGAAAGTTCAGTATAGCCTGAATGAACTCAAAGGAGTCTAAGATTAATACCATTTAGAAAGAATGAAATGCTGACCTGGTGATAAAATGAGGGTGTAATTGTGATAGATAAAGGATGACGTTTGGGCCTTCATTTGAATAATGATTTGAAAAAAAAAGAATAAGAAGAGAAGGAGAAAAGAAGAAAAGATATCACTGACGGCACGAGATTAGGATACCCCCCCATAAGGTGAATCACATTGAGACACTATGAAATACAATTATGGAAATCACTTCAAATATTCCTCAATGCAATATAAGCCCTAACGGCAATGTATTACGTAAAAAGTTTCAAGTCTTTAAGTGGAGGAATGTAGATCAACATTGAGGTGAATCAACAATAGACGGATACAAGTTACAAAGTATGACATGAGATTATGCCATCCCTCTTAAGACGAACGGTAATGAAGGAGCATTAAGGGACTGAGATTTATACCTAAAGGATAGGCAACAGAAGTAACTGAGAGTTTTGTAAACATACCTCAATAACGATAAATTGAAGTAAAAAAAATTATGGTATAGTATGACCCATATAGATGCAGTAAAGCCATAAGAATGGATGACCAGATCTATGAAATAAGATATGGCCATATTCACAAGTTCTACAAAGTATAAAGTGAAGAACTTCAGACACCTATAGTTGCCCAGAGAGGCATCCTATTAAGCCTTATGTATGTTTAAAAAGTAAGGCCTAGAGATTGACTAAACTAAAAGAAAAAAGGAAAGATAAACCGCATAAGCACACTTACAAATCCCGGGTCATACAGGCCGCATGACAGGAGGTAGCAGCAGTGGCGAGATTATAAAGATTTCGACCACAAGTCATGATATGAGCAAGAATACTAAAGGGGGGAATACCCTAGACTTTGGATTTATTGATAGAGCAACTACTTAAAAGTCAAGGAGAGTATTATGATATTCAAAAGAGCTATAAGTTATGAAAATGATAAGAGCATCAGTCAACATTCGAGGACGAATATTCCAAAGGGGGGAATGATGTTACACCCCGCAATATTACGACAATGTTACGTCCTTCAGTATTATATTACGATGATGTTACGCCTTGCAGTATTATATTTTGATGATGTTACGCCTTGCAATATTACATTACGATAATGTTACACTTCACAGTAATAAGTTACGACAATTTTGCACCCTGCAGTATTACATTACGGTAATGCTACGCTTTGCAGTATTAAATTACGACGATGTTGCACCATGTAGTATTGTAAGTTGAATTTCTCGTAAGGTAATTGACATCAATCCAAGGAAAAGATTATTCGGAGTTTATAAGGATTATGCTATTTCACAAGTGATGAGTAAATTCGTAAAGATGAGAGGGGAAGAAAGTCAAAAAAAATGAATTTTCGTCCAAGTTTGGAATGTTGGGATAATATACGGCCCGAGCTAAAATATCTGTTATTTATGGACTAGCACCATACAAGGTACCATATGGCCATGATAGTAAAGTGTATAATATAAAAAGTAAGTAGTATTTTAAGTAATTTGAGATAATTCTTAATTGTGAGGATAATTGGGTAGTTATGGATTTTTAAGTGGGAGATTAATCTTTAAATGGATTTTTTTGGATAAAGCTTGAGGGGGACAACTCCCCCCAACGTGGAAACCCCCTAAGATCAATTATGTGACTCTTAAAATCACATAAAAGATGACAAAATATGGAGTAGTCTTTGGCCAACTAAGCCATAAAGTGGGGCCCATTTCCAAAAGCTTAAGAAAACCATTCTAAATTAATTTCGAATCTCTATAATAAGAAAGGAACTTCAGCAACTCATTAGAAACATTATTGCTCAAAGTCACTTTCTAATACAAGATTTTCTTTCCAAATAGCAAATCTTTGATAGAAACATAAGAAACATTATTGCAATTTTCCAAATAGAAACTTTGTTGCTAAGTTCTTAAGGAAAGGTTTCGGCCAAGATTTTCTTTGCATAACTATGTAATTGCTTCAAGCTTTTCATATGACTTGTTCCGTATGTTGTCGCAATTAACGTGTGTTAGAGGATGGTTAAGAGAATTGACTCAAGTATGTTAACGTTATCCCTTCTTTCTTTTGGCATGATCCATATGATGCAAACGAAATGTGCAAATGCACAAATTCCATAAATGACTATATTCATAGAAGTATTAGTGATATCTATGTTCTTGAATTTTTATGTGTCATAATATTTTATCATATGTTCATGGGTCTCAAAAAAATACGAAAGTTGAAAAGAGTTTACCTTATGATATTATTCAAAGGCAAAATGGCCTTATGACATTCCGAAAGATTTTATTAAAGTAGTTTTCATACATTGCATTCATGTACATTGACCCATGACCAGATGGCATTATATATGTGTATATATGTATGTATGAATATATATATATATATATATGGGATATGGGAAAGCTTATGGCGTTATATACGCACCACCACCTGATCAGCTGGTATACGTTAATGATTTTACCTACAGTGGTCGATATGATATGATGGGATGCCCTCAGAGGCTGATGATGTTATGAAACATGTACCTATGCATGACATGACATTCATACGCATATGCATGATACTATAAGTATTTTATGATATACAAAGTTTTCCAGATTTACAGGTTGAGTCAATTACTCTATATTTCTTCCATGTCTGTTATGTACTTATTTATGTGCCTTACATACTCGGTACATTATTCGTATTGATGTCTCTTTTGCCTGGGGACGTTGTGTTTCATGCCCAGGTCCCAATAGACAGGCCGAGAGCCCTCCAAGTAGGCTATCAGCTCAGCGGAAGATGTTGGTGTGCTCTATTTGGTTCGGAGCTGCTTGTATGGTTAGTATGTGTTAGGTGTGTATTGTTTGGTATGGTGGGACTCTGTCCCGATCTTTATGAAAACTATGTATTCTTAGAGGCTCGTAGACAGATTTCATGTACATAAGAGATTGTATGGCCTTGTCGGCCTATGTTCAGTGTTTAATTGGTTATTTTGGTCTTAGAGGCCCATATGTCTTATGTATAAGTCGGCATTACTTGTTGTATTCTATCCATTTTACGGCATCCTCTTCGGCTCAGTTATTTATGATAGTATGACATGAAAAGATATGTTATATTGGTACTCAGTTGAGTAAGGTACCGGGTGCCCATCGCGGCTCATCGTTTTGGGTCGTGACACTAACACATTCTCTGGGTCTCATTATCTCATTTATTGCTCATATTTATTGTGTTCTATTTATTGTTCATCATTTATTACTTATTATTGGCCATAAAGAGATGTCTGCGATTTATTTATAACTATTAGTCCCCATCAACCACCTTCGATAGCTCCCAGCCGAGCTTCAGACTCGACCCCAAGGCCCTCAAATAGGCAAGCTCGAGGCCCCGATTGGCAGCGATTCAGTTTGATTAACATCTTGTTTTTAAGATCTTATTTCGTCTCTAAGTCTTTCACATAGCATCAACTGCCTAAAAACTAGCATAAAAATAGATCACGTATTTTTAGAACAACTAAATAAAATTTAATTGTTATTATCATTTTCATGATAAACAGTTTGGCACCCACCGTGGGGCTAAAAATAATAGTAATTATTTTCTTGCTGGTTTAACTACATAACGCAAGTTATCTTTCACACTTTTTCTTGCCCAAGATCTTTGATTTCATGTCAAAATGTCCGACTTAGTGAACAATAATCTTGAGAACCACGGAGAAAATGGTGTAGATGTTCCAGGTGCTGTTGTACCACCACGAAACCCTGAGAACGCACCAGAACCGATTCCCATGGATGCAGTCTCACGCGATGCTCAACACTTCGATGTAAGCTCCCACACTAACAAGAGCGTGCACCAATGAGACCGACAAGAAGCTCAAGAAACCCTGGCTAAGGAAGAACGGGAGGTTTGCCTTCACGTTATTTTTGAAATATTGCAAGCACAATAGCTAGTGATTGCTCAGCTCCAAAGTCACCAGAAAACTCCCAGCAGGGTCGTGCTGGGGATAGCTCCCCCGGCTGAGCAGGTACCGGAGAGGTCAAGCAACAACGGGACGGTAGCCAACCCCGCAATCGTAAAGATGCTCGAGGGCCTCACAAAGAGGATCGAATCGAGAGAGAAGAAGATATAAGCCAGTGACAAAAAGGTCGAGACCTACAACTCCAGGGTCAACCAGATTCCTGGCGCACCCCCGATCTTGAAAGGTGTGGATTCAAAGAAGTTCATACATAGGCCGTTCCTAGAGGAATCGGCTCCAAAACCCATTCCAAAGAAGTTAAAAATGTCGGTCCTTCCAAAATACAATGGGACCTCAGACCCCAATGAGCACGTTATTTCTTACACTTGCGCAGTGAAGGGCAACGACCTAAAGGACGACGAACTTGAGTCCGTCTTACTAAAGAAGTTCAGGGAAACACTCTCGAAGGGGGCCATGATGTGGTATCACAACCTAGCTTCTAACTCTATAGACTCATTTGCCATGCTAGCAAATTCCTTCATAAAGGCGCATGTCGGTGCCATCAAAGTAGCAACAAGGAAGTCTGACGTTTTCAAAATCAAGTAGAGGGAGAACGAGATGCTGCAAGAATTTGTATATCGCATTCAAATGGAATGAATGGAACTACCACCAGTCTCAAATGACTAGGCAGTACAGGCCTTCACTCAAGGCTTGAATGAACAAAGCTCGGTGGCTTCGAGGCAGCTGAAATAGAACTTGGTCGAGTATCCCGCGGTGACCTGGTCGGACATCCACAACTGATATAGGTCAAAGATGAGGGTTGAGGACGACAAACTAGGAGCCCTCTTGGGCTCTGTATACCCAAGCAGGCTTCTAGTAGAGGAGCCAAAGCCAAATAAAGAAAGGTACCAGCCATACACTGAAGATAGGAGGAACACCCCGAGGCTTAACATACCCCGCACTGATCGAAGAATGGACCGAGGCTAGACTCCTCGGGGACTCGTCAATAGAGCTGGGATCAATAGGTACATAGGGCCGACGGAGGCACCTCGCTTGTCGGAATACAACTTCAACGTTGATGTATCAGACATCGTGTTCCCCATTAGTAAAATCAGAGACATCAGGTGGACAAGGCATGTACAATCGGATCCTTCACAAAGGAACAATAACTTAGTATGTGAATTTCACAACACGCATGGTTATAGGACCGAAGATTGTCGACAACTCCGGGAAGAGGTAGCCCGACTACTCAACAAAGGTCACCTACGAGAACTCCTCAGCAATCGAGCCAAAAATCATTTTCGGGAAAAAGAGGCAACCAAAAAGAACGAAGCAAATAAGCCACAACATGTCACCCATACGATCTTTTAAGGTGTCGGTGCCCTGCAGGAACCCACGGTCAGGAGAACGAAAACATCCCTCACCAGGAAGATGCAAACTCAAGGCTCTATCTCAGCCCCATAACGACGCACTAGTAACTTCTTTTCTTGTGGATACACTTCAGATTAAACTTGTGTTTGTGGGCCCAAGTAGCTCGGCCAATATTATTAGGTCGAAGGCAACAGAACAGCTTGGACTGCTTGACCAAATTATACCCGCCCCTCGAACCCTCAATGGATTCAACACGGCGATCACAAGGCATATTTTCGGCTATTTCCGAATGAACGAACAACGGGTCGTACCGCATTTTTCGAGCAGATAACTCAAGGCCTACCTAGGTTCAAAGCTCCATCGCTACTAAGGTACAACCATCTCCCTTTTCAAGTTACATCTCGTACTCACCTTTATGCAGGTGCCCGACTAAGCCAGTCAAAGCGCTAACCCAGCTCGAAGACCTTAAGGTTTTAAAAGTATTTGTTGCACTCTTTTCCTTAGACCGAGTTTTTGTCCTGAAAAGGGTTTTACCGGCAAGGTTTTTAACGAGGCAACATCTACATGCTACCTAAGGAAGATCCAACAAGTAGTCAAGGCTTCTTTCGCAATCAACCTCAAATACTGGGGGGCATCCCTCCAGAAGGTCACCTACTCGGAGAAGCCAAGTTACGCTAAACAGGGGCCCAATAAGAAAATAATGTATTGGGCCAAACGGTTGAACGAATTGTGTCTGTATAGAACAACCGGGCCCTTAACAACAAAAGACATGCATACTTGTACCAAGTAATCAAAGAATGCTTCCCAAGAGCATTTTGCATTTCAAGGATACTCGATATTTTTCCGAAAACAAGACCCCAGAGCCAAAAAATGTCCCGAATACTCGGGGACTGGCGTCAACAACTCAAAATAATGCGACCTCTGGGTCGGATCTCCTACCTCATAAGCCCTCAATGAGGAAACATCAATATCACAAAGTGGGTCCAGAGCCAAAAACGTCCCGAACACTCAGGGACTGGCGTCAAAAAATCAAAACCACATGACCTCCGGGTCGGGAACTCCAAAATTGTAAGCCCTTCATGAGGCAATACCAAGTCTACAATTAATGGATCCCGGGCCAAGAATCCCTCGATGACTCGAGGACTATCGTCAATCGCCATCTCCATCGACTTGTCAAAACCCGAGGCCATAAGATCACATGCGGGCAGCCTCGGTCTCATAAGACCTATATAAGGCAACAACAATATCTGTAAGACCTCAAACAAGGTGTGAACCATACTTGTACCAAGTATCCAAAACTGTAAGACCTCAAAGGCATGTAAAACTTGTAAGACCTTACTAAAGGCATAAAACCGATCTTAAAGTTTCGGCTATATATCGAACTTGTAAGACCCCTAAAAAGGCATACCCTCGATATAGATGCCGAAACTACTTCACTCAGGACTTAAAGGCTTCGGCCAAACACAAATGACTCCGGTCACAAGGTTGTACCAGCAAAACTAATGCGATTCAGGGACGCCCGACCGTCGCTACAAATCACAGGCCTTCAATTACTTTGAATATACTTCGGAAAGAACCGGTTAAACAGGCTACCCTCGATATAGGCAAAAGAGCTTCGACCATGTCAGCTCCTAAACACTGGCTTCGAGATACTCAACCTCTTAGCCAAACCTCCTGAGGTGCTCGATCATCGCCATATAACGACTCGCAATCATGGATTTTTATTAAACTGTCAAAGAGTCAGGCAAACACTATTTCAAAAAATCCTTATCGAGGGAAAAATAAAGCCTACATAAAAGGTCACATTGACCCAAGGCGTAAGAGCCACTATCGCTATCCCACATAAAAGCTCTCATCGACCCAAGGCGTAAGAGCCATTATCGCTAGAAGTCATAAGGACCCAATGTAAGAGCCTAAGGGACAGCCCTAAATTCGAAAATTTGAGGGTAGAATGAGCTCGAATAGAAACCCGATTTAGAGACTGAACCCAAAATAGTTAACTAAATATGCCTAAGAGCAAAAGCATAAAAGCCATTGTCGCCAGCACATATAAAAGGTCATATCGACCAAACACGTAAGAGCCTACGGGCCAGTCTGATGAGCCCCAGGGCCATACCACGAATCTAAGGATTCCTCTCAACTCGAAGACCAGTTCATCTAGCTAAAATCAAGACAAAAAGAAATACAGGAGAAACAAAGCTGCAAGGTTTCCTTTTTATACATACATGCGGAAAAATACAAGCTCTGTTTACAACATGCTTAGAAAATACTATATACAGAGACAGAGAAGGAAATATACGTCCCCTAGGGGTCTACAACCTAACGGCCCCATCCTCGCCATCCTCGGCATCGGACAGAAGGAATTTAGCATCGTGTTCTTCCGCCTTGGCTTGTTTGATCTCTTCCGAGAGGTCGAAGCCCCTGGCACGAATTTCCTCGAGGGTTTCCCTCCGAGATTTACACTTCGCGTACTCTTTACTATTGCTCTCACGATCAAGAGCTTCCCTCAGCTCAGCTCTAGCATAGGCAGTGCCTTTCAGATAGGCCGCCACCTTCTGGTCAGCCCTAGTGTGGCTTATTACAGACTCAGCTCAGGCATTCACCACCTCGGCCTTCGCCTTCAAAAGCTCGAACTCGAGCTTTGTGATCATATTCGCTCCGGCAGAATCGTTCGCATGAATGTTCCGAACTTGCTCCTCGAGGGCAAAAGCCTTAGCCAAAGCATCCTCCTTAACCGCAACTAGGGCATCTACCTGAGCCTTCAACTCGTTAAACTCGCGTTTGGCCAGGTCAACTTCACCCCAAAGTCATTAGAGCGCCTCCATTTTGCTCTCCAACTGAAATATCAAAACATTAATCTCCGAAAATGAAAGAGGGAGCATACATCAATATAAAATGCAGGTTACCTGTCTTTCGAGGTGGCTTTCGCAATTCCGACTTCGATTCGCCTCACACCGCAGGTATATCATCTTGCTTTCCTTCCTCGCACAAAGAAGCCTAAGAAATTTTGCCATATCCAAAGCTTTCCGCAGCTTGGCCTCATGGAGAAACAACTCGAACTTAAGCTTGTCAAATGCCTACAAAGGAAAATTCAA